GTGTGTGTATATATATATATATATATATATATACTATTCATACCTTCGGTGTATAGGATGCAAGCAGATTTTGACATCAAATTTTAGGGTAAAAAAGTGTGTCTTATTCACTGAAAAATATGGTAGTTAATTCCTCAGAACTGATGAACAGGAAACTGTCATGCTAAACCAAGTATTGATAGTGAACATCTAGTTTCAGCAACTATTTATCAGTAACCTCGAGAAGCTTGAATATTGCAATATTAATTTCTTGAAGCATTAGAAACTGCAGTAAGATGTGTCTTGATTAGTTGCAGTTGTTTCATGGTGGCTAATGCATAGTGTCAACAATAGTGATTAGTGTGCATGGTTAGGTGCAGCGATGTATATGATCATCCTAAGTATGGTACTGCTTAAGACGTCCTTTAATGAGCTGTTAGTATAGTGTGTTTACACATTAAGCATTGAATTTATTATTATGTTTACAACTTAATGATATGATGTTCCCTCTGGAATTTGTTTTACCTTTTCATAAAGAAGAGCTAGAATTTAAGCCAGACAAATTTCATCACACTAAGGTTATCTTTGATGAATTAACATTTTGTCACTTGCAATGGTTGGTTGGTATTTTATGGAGCAAAGCAACTAGGCTATCTGCACCACTTGCAGTGAGCTGTACCTTGTTTAAAAGAAAACAACCTTGTGAGACAAAAAGATTAAATGGTTCTTATATCAAGTAGAAGTTGAGTTGATTAAAAAAAAGTATTTCTTTGAAAAAGTTTTAATGTAAATTATTTCAAAACGTATTTTCATTGTTTAACTTAGATGTATGCTAGAGGGTGCATGATGTTAAATTAGGCCTAGAATACCTAGAATGTTGAGGCATATAGTGAGTGAGAGACCTCATGAAGTGTCTAGAAACAAAACTACATTAAAAATACAAGAATTGGAAATTACTGAGTCAGACAGTTTAACTCAGTGAAATCTTTAGTTTTAGTGGAAGAATTGTATTAATGTTAATTATTGCATATATTCAGTTACTAGATTGATTAGCCATGAGATTGTACAAGTAAGTATATTTTTTATGTTGGTTGTAGTACCATTAGCAAGCTATTTCTGTTTCAATATTATTTGTAAATTTATTTAGGTCTACAAGTTACAACTGTACAAGTGAAGGCAGCATGTAGAAAAGTTAATGAAGAAATAAACTAATCATTATGTGGACTAGAACTGGTGTTATTTTTTACCAAATAATTTTTAAAAACATGTATAGAAGAATTTAGTTGTTTACACCATTTGATTAAGTACAATACAATAACAATTTCAATGGTAAATCCTAACCATATTAAATTACATGCTTTAAACTATAGCAGATTAATCCTAAGAAGGTACTAGAATTGAGAAGTTAATTATTAGAATGTGCTTGTGTTTTGATTCAGGTGAGTGTTTCTGTCCATGTTTTCCTATTCAAAAAACTTATCCAATGAAAATATCTTAAGAACAAGATTTACACATCAAAAAAATATCTAGTTATATATATAATTATATATATTCATATCTAGTAATGTGTGCAGACAGGGAGTTGATTTTTATAAGAATGAATGAAAGTGACTGTTAAGTTTTTTTTTTCAGGTTCACATAAGACTTCAATAGAGGTAAAACTTTTTTTTTACTTAACCATCTAATCATTTAAATTTGATGATAAGTTAAATAATCAATATCATTTTTTTTTATCCTGTCTTGTCCTGCTTTTCCCTTTCCTCTACTTTTCCAAACCTGCTCATGTGGACATCATATTGCTGTGTTCTTCTACCATCGCAGGAACAAGTCAATGGAAAAGGTGATGTGACTTCTAGTGGAGGCAAGGAGAGTAGAAGGCATGTATTAAGTTTTTATTTTTTTCTCAAAAAAAGTGTATTTTCAATGAGTAAATATACTGATTATCTAAAATATATAAAATCTGTATAAAATGTAACTTTCTTGTCACATATAAGTGAAGTATAATTGTGATTAGAGCAAAAAAAAAAAGCTATTTTAAGGAATATGTTAGCCATCAAATAGTGTCATGAAAATAATTTAATAATTGAAATGACATTTAAATTGATTAATGTTATGAAAATAATCAGCTAATTAAAATTTTTGTTATCAATTATTGATTATTTCAACTATCCAAATCTTGTAGGACTGATTAGTTGAACGGAATTGGTTAATGAGTCTTGTGATTAATCAGACTCCATTAATCACCTAGCACTAATGTCAGTGAATTATGTTTCTTAAATGTTTTAGCTAGTCTCAGTTGTTCAACACATTATATTGGTATTTTTTTGTACGTTGCATAATAAAAAATATGTGTTTCAATTAATATAAAATAGGTTCTAATGTTTGGTATCTCTCTTTAGTATGAAAAAAAATGTATACCATTAATTAGATTAATTGATATTTCCTATTTAAAACTTTTCAATATAGAATGTTATAAGAACTTGAATGCTGATTACAGTGTTGAGGAAAGTTACTTTGAGTTTTATTTACACTTTTTTGATGGACTGGTCATTTTGCAAATACTTCAAAAATCGTGAAGCTATATATATATTAGAACTCTGAATTTACTAACTGTACCTTTGTGAAATTTGGCAAGCTTTTAGTAAACTGTACAAGTCTGTCATACATAAGAAACCATAATTTTTAATAAAATATTTATAGTAACTTTTGTCTGTGAATTTTCAATGTGAGTTCATGTTAAGAATGAAAATACTTCTTTTCATCTTATAGTTTTAATATTTTATTTGTATGATCTTTAGAACCTCCAAATTAATATCAAAAAGTCTTTAGGGTACAATTTTGAAAATTATGAAGTAAATTGACAGTACTTTTTTTTTTCATCTCTGAATTCATCATTTTGGGAGATTTTCAGTTTTCTTATATTCAAAACTTAACTGTTTACCTTTGAACATATAGTTTATTTTGATTTTATGGTTTTATTGCTATGTACTATGTGAACAGTTTATTCATCCATGAAAAGCAACATATGACAGTGGAAACACTTTAGCAGATTCTTGTATACTGATGTGGCATGGCTTGAAATTGTGCCATCAAATGTAACTAAATAGGCCTAATTGTTTTTTCTAAGTTTGTTTTTGAAACACAGAATTTGCATGCCTTTCAAATATGCATTTTAAAACATAAATAATGCACAATTCACTAAAATCAAATGTCCAAAAACAAGTGTAATTTATGTGGCTTTCCAATTAAGCTATAAAACAGTTTGCAAAATTGTTAATGCTGTTAGCATCAGTTTTGCTTACATACACATATCACTCACCTCCTCTGGACTACCATTTATTACTATCAAATTCAAAAGGACAGTTACAAGCTTGAAATAGAAAATAAGCACTTTCTATTGCTTGTTATCATGTGCACCAAATAATATAGGACACATGGTTCTGAAAACTGCCTTTAAAAGTTAAGTATAGAGGGGCAAGACTTCTGTCATGGGTTGAGAAAATTTCTTGATAATTCAGAAAATGGTGAAGTTAGGATATTGAAACTGTACATTTTACTTTGCCATATTTATAAACTGTGTTTATTTTACTTAGACAGCAAAGATGCTATACTAGTGAAGTTATACAAACTGAAAGTGGGAGATTTAGTACCACATACATCATGTGACAAAAAAGTAAAGATTTCACTCCAAAATATTGAGACAAGTGCAAAAGAGCCAGACTTGTACTTAAAGGGTTAATGGTTTACAGTTATAACAGATATGAAAGAACTGTTTTTTTTTATAGAACCTTTAAAGCCCAACTCTTTGTCATTCCTCTTTAATCCTATTAGGGTCAAAGGTAGGTCTCCAAAGTTGAGAGGGCGAGGAGTGCACACTTGCATAACAAATACCATAATTTAAGTAAAAGTCGTAATTCTAACTATCAGCCATTCTTTTTTACTCAGAAGTACCTAAGAATTATTATTTTGTAACTGGAAAAACATATTTAGTGTAATTTGTAAAGAAAAGGTAAAAAAGGTTTTAATTTTGATTTTTGTTACAATATCTTAACTCTGCTCTTCCTACTGTGGACCTGATATACAATTCCAGATGCTGCTGGGTATTGGTTGATCGACTCTGTCGATGTGGTAGCTATACTTTTCAAAATAGGGTATCGTGGTCACCCATTGCACTGTCTCCAGTGCGTTTTCTCCTCCTTTCTTCTTGTGGAGTATGGTAGTTCTTGCCACTTACTAGTTTTTAGCTGCTGGGGTAGTGTACCATGGAGGCCTGTCCTCCTGAGTAATGCATCATACCTCTCGGTTAAGAGTAGAGTGGTGGATGTCAGTGGTGTATAACACTTCCTACCTCAGACCTGATGTACAATTCCAGATACTGCCAGGTTTTGGTTGTAGCACTATGCCGTATTAATATATTTATATCTGACAGATATCTTTTTCCCACTGCGGTATTCCTTCTTCCTACCATCTTCTGGATGTACATTCCTGGTGGTTCTGGTGTTGGCTGGAGATAGCCTGGTCATGAGTAGAACCATGTGTTAATGGCGTGATGCCCTTCCTATTATGGACTTGATGTAAAATTCCAGGTACCACCAGGTTTTGGTTGAAGCACTCTGCCATGTTATGACTATATATATATATATATATATATATATTGTAGTTTGCCTCTCAGGCTGAGATGTTTCTTCTACCTACCATCCTTTGGATGTGGTTCTGAGTGGGGACAGGTGTTGGTTGGAGATGGTCCAGCTAAGTAAGTTCTTGTGTTCTGGCTGGTATCCCTCCTCCTACCATGAACTGGATGAAATATGCTCAGTGCCACCAGGTTTTGGATTGGAGATGCACCCCAGGCTTGTGGTTCCTCTTCCTACTGTCTGCTGGAGGTCGTTCCAAGCATATCTGGTGTTGGTTGTAGCTGGACACAGTACGTATTCCCACTTTTGTACGGCTGGGTATCCTCTTCCTACAATTGACTGGAAGAACCATACCCTATGTCACCAGGTTTTGTACTGGAGATGTCAATCCACTGAGACTTTCCTCCTTCATACTGTCTGCTGGATGTTGGTTTGTGGTGGATCAGTGTTGGTTGGGTTACAAATGCACTCAAGTGGAAACAGATTTTGCTATGGCATCTCGTCTTCCCTAGTAACTTCCATTTCGAGGTGAAGAGGTATGTGATCCTCTGCTTACTGCAGAACTGTTGTACAATTCCATATACCACCAGGTGTTGGTTGAGGTCGAACTACCACTACAGTCTATATCACCATAGCCACTCCACACCCAGGGGTCTCATTAGTTGGTAATATGTATTATGGGATTCCTTCATGTTTTTCCACCTTTTATGTTCCTGACACAGTCATAAAGGAGAGAAGAGTGTACCTGGATCAGATGTGGTATGGTATCCCACTGAGGTTTGATATTTTCTTTTTTGGTTGCACACTTCATGGTCTCTCTTTGGGCACTTCATAAAGGGGGATCAGTTTTTTACTGGCCATCCAGTAGTTCAGTATGGGATTCTAGCTATTTTATGAGAGGAGGTAAGATATCATATCATAAGTTAACATTTTCCTAAACTGAAAATGTATTTCTGATAGATACTTACCTCCTCAATCATTTCCCAACCAGCCTCTCCACTTCTGGTGATATGTGGTGTAGGTCTTCTGACCAATCTCGAAGGGATTAACGAGTACAACTGTGGAGAGGGTGCTGGTTAAGATAGGGGGTTGTGTTGCATTCCTATTGATGGAGAGCTGCTGCATAATCATTTATATGTGGATATGCAGAAACAGAAAGTTAGTGGCAAGTGTGGAAAATTTACACCAACAGAGGGTAGTACTAATCGAGAAAAGCTACTTTGTGAGAGGAAGTTTAGGAAAGTTAACCCCCTTGTTGCTGTTCCAAGAGGTATTCTGTGTAAACAAAGCCTTTACACATTTTTTTTAATGATTTTTCTGCCCACTCAAAAATATAGATCCTGACATCCCTTACAAATAAACTTACCCAAGGTTTTGATTCTCTGTAACTTTTGCTTAATAACTATTTTCAAGAATGTAATAAATGATTTCTTAAAAACTGTAACTGAAGTTCTTATAATAAAGTAAGAGTTTGTATGAATTGATGAGAAAATGAATATGTCATCATTAGAACAACACAAACACAACAATAATATTTTTGTTGAAAAAATAACTTTGATATATTTCATGGTTAATAAAAAAGAATAGGATCTCCCAGATGAAAGTAAGTATACTTTAATGTTTTCTCAAAACTGCCTTCTGTCACTGCATACAAGTGAATGTTATTAATAGGGGAAAACAATTTCTGTTTACTTAGTAATATCAACTTCCAATTAGAGCAAGATATGTACGTAGAGTGAAACTAAAAACCAACTAGTAATCATTATAATTAATTACACAATAGTTCTACTTATAAAGATTAGAATGCATTGTCTCATCAGTTGGGTGCCATTGCTATTAACAATACTTTCAGCTTGTTCATTTTAAACCTTGCATCACTGCCCCTCCCCTCAGAGTTTATACTCAGCTAAATGTAAACAACCCTTAGTTGTTTAATGTTTGAAACCTTTTTTTTGTTTTTAGCTAAGTACATTTGATAAAAGAAGGGAAAAGTTTATACTAATTAGTTGCCATTATGGAGATAAAAACTTATTTTATTGCTTTTGTAGCCCATTAACTCATTCATTGTGGCTGGGGTGTATATTTCCCAGTGCTCCCAACCCCTTACACTGTGACTGGGCCAAGTGTTTCCCATTGACAGTGCTGTTTATGCCTTCCCTCTGCTGGGTCCAGGTTCATCATCTTCACTATCATCACAAGATGGCGAGCTAGCATCTTCTTGTCTCATTGCCTCTTCATCATCA